AAAAGAGCTTCTCTTCCTTAACTATGTTTATTGGTTCAGTTCCCTTATATCAGCACCCACACGTGTGGTCAAGCCACTAATGGATGAACTCATTTCTGAACACGAGCATCTTCTGTTGACCACATTCTCATGGTACAACATTCATCAATATACACAATGCCTTTGACTGATACTCCAGGTTATTAGGGACGAAATAGTACGTATACTTCCACCATAGTCGTCACTATGTGCAATGGAAGCCGAACCCAGAAATCTTCCCGACTGATAATTCGGCCCTACCTGCCCACAACATTCTAAATCATCAGACCACACTCACATACACACACCAGTTCTTTGAAGTAGTTTATTTCATTTATTAATCTTAAGACATAATTATAACTTTATATCAACGCATTTGTTTATTTAATCTTATGAAAACAAATCAACTGTCCTTGCCTTTGTGTGACATGCATGCAATTTTCCAACTTTCACTTTGCTGAAAAATAAGTGAAGAACATACAATTAATGACGTTGTTGCCCCCAACTCGTGGGGACAAATGAAAGTTTAACTTGACTAAAATTGGATAAGACATAAATTCAATTGTTGTAGACATGTGCAGCCCTAACTGCTAGACACATCCATCTTAAGTCCACATAAAAGCTACAACCAAATAGTAATAATAATAATAACAATAATAATTAAAGTAAGTCGATTACAGGGAGCTTTTTCCGGTGATCTGAAGGTGCAAAATAAACAGTGAAAATCTGCTATTCTGAGTATCCATTTTTGTTGAATTAACAGCGTCCCACATAAACAGGTGAACACAAAATTCTCTTTGATGGGTATGTTTTCCAGTGGCAGCTAAAATACGCAATCTACCTTTTTTACTGGCAATGCCGTGCATATAGTGCGTCTTGATAGTAGGATGTTTGTTTTCAAACTCATCATGAAGGCATGGATAGAATCATAGAACCAACTACCAAGTCACTAAAATCGAGCAATATAAGGTTTAAAAAATAAAAAATGAATTCTGTAGTAACAGTAATCAAAAGTAAAGCGGGCCGAATGAAAGTGGTTGTCCAAAAGTTGAAAGTTAATAAAGAACAATAGGAAATCAGTATAACATTATGAAAAATTATGGTGTACTGCACCTGAACTTGCAAGTATTAGTTGTTTGGATCATACTCCTTAAATTGACTCTTAAAATCATCTGCCATTTTCGTTTCTTCATCTTTTCTGAGCTGGCAGTTCCTCCAATCAGCTTTATCGGCTATATTCAATAATCCAGCAAGAACCTAAAATGATGACGGCATTTATGATTGGATGACGAAAGCCACCAGAAATTTCCAAGGTAGGATAGGTGAAATTGAATGCATTAAAGTCGTAAAGAGATAGAGATACTCTGATGAAGTAGTGATATAACGGAAGCTTCTATTTAGAAACCTAAATTGGTGATAAAATAGAGCTAGACACGAAAAAAATTCAAAAGGATACTTCTCAACTTAAAAAGTCTAGGGTAGAAGGATAGCTTGCTACATCTACAAGTTAATTGGTTCAGAAAATCAATTACCTAGGTCGGACAAATAAAACAAATTCAATTTGATAGATCTGACTCATAAAAACTAAAAACTTTGTCCCAATAGTTTCTGGTTTCAAATATGAGAGATAGTAAATTCTTGAAAATTACTCAACATTTGGAGGATAAGTGACCAACTGTTGGTATATGTTACTGAACATGTGAACAAAATAGGACAACTAATGTGCTTCAAAGATAATCCACATACAAGAAAAATGGATAAAGCATATTTAGTGGAAGTATGATTTAGTTGAATATAGAAATTATTTCGCGAATAGGTTACAATTGTAACACTTGTAAAATAATGTGTTCAAGAGCTTTGAAATCCTTGTTGTAAGGTTTTAATCATCCACTAAAAGTCCTACTGCATCAGTGAGTACGTGATATGGAAACATAGGAAGTAATACCACCTTGTCACTCGCTCTTAAGAGTCTTAGCAGAAGATTCAGTTCACTATATAAAACCCATGACAGAGGAGTTAAAATATTCACCTCACGGCCAAATTGAAAAGGAAATTTTTCATTTTCCTCAACGCCATGAGACAGGATTGTACCGCCAGGAACTTCTACATAAAATAAGCTCTGATTTTTATCGAGATTCATCCCCACTAATTTTCGCGCTGAATTGTTATCATCTGCAATAGGGGGAAGTCCAAATATGAGCGGCAAATTAGCACACAACACAACCTCAGTATTAGAAATGAGGAATGTCAAATAAGGTCAATAGATCTAAGGGTCCAATGTCCGCACAAAATCTCAACAACCCAAAAGCAGGTAAGTGATAACTGATCCAAAGAACTTATTGGCCATTGTAGTTATACAAAAAGGACTTACTTTTAATTGTTGTAAATGTGAATCCCAACTTCTTAGCAGCTAAATTGAAAATATTTTCAACGGAAGATGCTCTGTATGATGGAATAGGAACAACCTGCAACAAAGTAGGTTTATAAAGTTATCATATGATCATGCAGAATATTGGTTAACAGTGAATCAAGTGCCATACAAGTGAAATGGCCAATCCAGCTGTAGGTTACACTAGTCACATTTCAACATGGCATATTCTATAGCAGGACAAAATTATTTCAGTTACTTTACTAGAGTAACAGAACTCGCCACTGGAAAGCAGAAAATGATAAAGCAAGAAAAAAAAAAATACATGTAAAAAACCCACACAACTTCATTTATCATAACAAATAAAACTAAAAGATTTTATTAATACAACAGAACATGCTCATTAACAGAGATTTTTTCGGACCTGAAGATTGGCGTGGGTCCCACGTTTAGAAACCCATTCGAAGAAAACTGCTTCTTTCCCTTGTCTCTTGAAGTAAGCTTTAAGGCTGCTCTGGAGTTTATTCAAATCTTTTTCCGATTCTGGTGGTAGAGAAAGGGTGTTGGGAACATGCTCAATTGGTATTATCAGTACATGGTCTTGAACTAATGGCCCCTTAGCAAGTGCACAATAACAATATTCTCCAATGCTAGTGATTAGATGAGACTCCACACTGGGACTTGACAAACAAAACCAGCATTCCTTCGATCTAAAACACAATATTCTTATTTAAGTCGAGGTGTATCTAGGTAATTTTTAAATTAGTGATCTGATGAAGTTAAAAACAAACACCATTCTCGAAACCACTGATACAAAGAGAAACATCATTGTTTCTTTTTTACCTCGTAGAGCTTCCAGTCCCTGATCCAGATCTGCCAGAAAATCCTCTACCTTCTTCTTGCAAACTATGCTTAAATTTGCAATCAGGCCCCCGTTCACAATTTCCTTTGTTTAGAAACTCAAAACACACACCCCTAATAGATTGTTCCCTGGCTTCTGCATCATGTCGGAAATGGCACTTATCCCCTCTCGGACAAGACCCTGAAGACATGAATTTGAAGCACAACCTATCGCCACCATCACCATCTCCATGTTTCTGCCTTTTCTTAGAAGAATCATACCGCCAATACTGTGCATCAGAATCATTGTCACCAGATCTTTTTATGGCTCCATTGCCAGATTCAGTTTCATCAGACGATAAATATGGAGATAAAGTAGTATTTGGAGGTTTCGCGGAGATCTCAGCGGAGGCCATTTTGGATGCAGGAGTAGGTGAAAGTGCATGTATGAATTTCTGGAATAGAAGGTGGCGATCATGAACAAGAGCACGATTTGGAAAGAGTTGAATAACAAGAATACAAAGATGCAGATAACCTCATATGGGATGGATAAATTAACATGTTTTTCATACATGTAATATCCGGACTCCATGTCTTGGAAACATGTAACATGAGAAATGACAAAGCACAAGATATGCTTCACTCTACAAGAAATCATAAAAGAATGAATAAGGAAAACGACCTGTTTGTCTTTATTTCCAACTGGAGCTAGCGCTAGAAAGCGAGTCACGTGGACAGCATCAATATTAGCATAAGGTTCACGGTCATAATAGATACCAGCAGAGCCTGCAATATGGAAACTATGGCAGTGGACACTCGTTAGTTGCTAGGAATACTCAAGTAATGATTAGAGTCGCAGAGTACATGGAATTTTTCAGCTGCAAGGTCATCTCCCTGGGAATCATGCAGAATCTGATATATGTTTCAACTTTGTAAAAAAAAAAAAATATACTTGATACCATACAGGAACTAGGAAGTCACTTTCTAATATTGTGTGCCCAGACACGATGATTATGAATTAGAGTTTTTACCAATCAGTTTCAAATATGGTGTTTCAGGTAGGGCATTAACATCATTTTCTGTATTAGCATTTTTTCAGGTCTTTCAGTCGTAATACAAAACATTTTTATTTCCATGGAGTCTCCTAACAGTCCACAGATCAGCTTTAGAATTATACAAAAAATAATTAGATTCCTATAAGATTATAATTCTTATCTACCAGGAGAAATACTCAACAGTTTCAGGACTAACAAACAGCAAAGATTTTCTTTATAATTTACATGACAATGCAAGTAATGTCAGGCATGCTTTAGGAACTTCCAAACTAAACCCCTAATGCTGTTTTGTTTGTTTGCAGCAGTGCTAATATTCATAAGTTTTCTATCAACTGTAGACCCCAGAGATATATCTCCGAACAATTACAGATTCATTTCCCTTCCAACAGATTCTACTAGAAGCTGAGAGGAATAATCGAGTATTGGTAGCCAGTTGGCTACATATCCTACTAACAGCTTCATTTGGAGTAACAGAAAACAAATTTAAAGTTTCTGTCTAACAAGAGATCCTAGCATGTTTGTTTATGGAAATTTTTGGTCTTGTTTAGATTTTATGGTTTGGTTTGGTTAATTTTGAAAAAGGTGGCATGGTTAGGTGTCAGTGGGTATATTAAAATAATATTTAAAATAAAATAATTAAAATTGATTTGATGTGAAAGTATGAGTAGATGAATAGTGAATTAAGGTTGATGTGATGTGTATGATTGATTGATTGATATTATTTAATTATATTGATGATAGTGAGGTTGAGTTAAAGTTGAGTTAAAATGTTGAAATTTTTTTTTGAAAAATCTTATAAACAAACATGCTCTTAAGGTTTTTACTAGTTTTAATGGGTCTGATGTATATTTCTTATTCCACGAGCCAAATTTGGACAGCATCACAACAGAAATTGTTGAGATTTATAAGCGAAATTTTATATGCGAAACTAAACTTCAACTGTTGATGAAAAGTTTTCAAACCAGTTGTACCAGTTACTATGAGTAATGCATGAGTTTGAAACTATATATCTTTAATCTCATTTTAATTAGGCTATACATAGGAATTGTTAGAGCTCATTTTTGTTTTTTGTCAACCAAAACTACCTTCTCCTTCACTTTCATCTAATTGGAATCAAACTGCACATGCACTTATTATTAAACAACAATTTCATGTTACAAAATTAGCAAAGAAATGAAGTTATTACGTACCGCGGCTTCAGTTCTGCTACTAATTCTGATATGGTTGAATCACCAATAGATGAATCTGACAGCCCAGAAGGAACAACAGGTGCTATTGATTTATTTGTGACTCTACTAGGCCACTCATTAGTGAAATCAAGTGAAGGAACAAACAAGTTGTAAATTGCATAACCACATCAAGAGTCCAAGGACGGAGGAGAAATAGAAAGAGAGTAATTGCGCTTATAAAAAGGATATGTCAAGAATATATCAATAATCCCTGGCTCCTCAGACAATGCCCTCAAGGAATCAACATCATCTTGAGTGTATGTTCCGAATTGTTGGCTACTTGTAGACCGCCTTCCAGATAAGTATGCCACAGACAAACCTATATATGGAATTCCATTTCAATGGAAAGATCACGGTCAGAAGCAATTTTCATCTTGGAACCATAAATAGTTTGACCAGCTAAGAAAAACATAATAAACCAATACATACCATATCAGGTAGCCACGTGCATATAGGAAAACTACATGAATTCAGTTGTAACACCAACCAAAGCAAATTGTTTTTTAGAGGGATCTATCCCGCAGATATGATATATATACAAATTTTTCAGTGATAATTAAGTGTGCCCCACAAGCCATCACATTATTGATTATCTAGACAATTGCTTTTAAACGGAAAAGTGATACTCGTTAGAATGTAATATAGAAAAACCTAGTAGAACTCTGTTGACAGTCTTTACTAGTAGGGGAAATACTTGGATATTTGAACCAAACATTTCACAACTCAGAAAATCCTGGTTAGTGTTTGTTTGTGACTGTAAATAGCCTAATATGGGATTATATGGCAAAGAGGACTGTATTCAGATCTGAGGACCATAATTTTCATAAGTCAATGATTGATCAAAGTACAAGGTCCACTCAGATTCTAATTTCTCGTTACAGATAATATGAGATGAATGGACTAGATTGATACGTAGAGAAGGAAGCTTCCTAAACTGTGGGTTAATATTCGTCTTTCAATAAAATATGATCAACCAACAGTGTTGGAGAACAAAGAAGAGAGCAAGGGTTGAAAAAAAAAAATCAATAGATAATCCACATAAATATCTGTGTTCTCGCAAGCATGGCAGGGAGATGGAAATATGTGGTAATCATCAACACTGCATATAGATGTACTTTGTTGCTATGTAAAGCTTAAGTGCTGGACTGAGATGTTCCGTGGGATAAATACTATATGGAATATAGACTTATCTTTTGCAACTGAAACTGATTCAAATCTTCTACAGTTGAAAACTTCATTATAATTTGCTAATACTACATAATAACTAGATAATAATAATGCGGCGCCAGAAACAAGCCAATTCTGAAATTCAGAACACAACCCTATCAATATTTTGTTGGTCCTGTATTCTATAATATTTCAGTCATTCAACTGGATATCCAAGCATGGCTGACTGATATCCGATTCAAACAATCAATAAAAGAAACAACAGCTGATAACTGGAATTCAAGCCCTTTTGCAAACTACGAATCATGGCAAAGCAACAACTATCCATCCCACATCAAGGATTTCTCATTTAGATANGAAAAAAAAAAAAAAAAACAAAAAAAAGATCAATCATTTTAGTATCACCAAGTGACACTTGAAATCAACTTATTAACCGCATTACTCATGAATACACAATCAGTCAGTAAATGAACAGCTACAACCTTGCACACTCCAAATATGAACTAATATTATCGTTGAAAACGATTTCACAGCTGCACTAGAGGTGACTACACGCAACCGGAAAAGAAAAACCCATTAACAAAACACACTGAACTTTGGGCGTTAATTACCGTGGAGCAGGAACTTCCCGCTGCCCCTCAACCAGTACAAATTCTCAGAGACTTTTAATCCATCCATCTTAAACCCTAGATTAGCCGACTCCTTGGCCGCCGCCGACAGTACTTTTACAGCCCCAACGCCGTAATCGCCGATAAAGTATGTGGGAATGGGGATTTTGGAGCGGCCTTCAATGTAGTCATTGAACTCCTCCAGGCCCTCCGGAGAGTCCGGGAAGAACTGACCCACGCACAGCAGCGCGTCGAATGGCCCGGCCGATTTGTTCACCTGAAATTAGCATAATAATTAATCATAAAACCACGTATTTGGTTAGAAAATTTGTGAAGCGTGAGGAGGTTTGCAGAGCATACGGAGGTAACGCGTTTGAAGAGTTGGTTGAGGCGGCCAAGGACGTCGCCGCAAAGAAGGATCCGTGGAGCTGCCATGAGAATGTGAGCAGCGAAGCTTGCTGTGGTGTTATTTTGGCCTTTTGAGTCGCTATATTTGCACTCAAGACGTGCCTATACGGTCTCACGATGAAAGGCTACCTGAACTACTAAACAAAAAATTTAATTCGTGTGTTTGGGTCGGTTCAACTTCATTTAAGGTTTGTTATAAGGCTAAAAATTAAGAAAAATGCTACAATCCCGTTACGAAACCATTTCGTCGGGATTTGTAATCGTTAGATCATCATGTAATCGTGGATAGTTGATTTAACAGTTATCAATCCCGACGGAATGATTTCGTAGAATCTCCCAAAAACTAAAACTTTTTATGTAATTTTCTACGATTCGACTTGTCAATATTGATAAACTTGGTCAAACTTGTTTATTAGCTTGTTATTGATAAACGAATCGAGTTCGAACTCGTTTAAGTAATTAATTAAGTTGGACACAACTTGATAAAGACTCCAAGTTTTAATATTAGGAGCTCTTGCTCAGTTGAGCTCATTTGGACATCTAATCATATCATTTTTTTAATGAAAATATATTTCGAAATGAAAATTCATGACAATTATTTACATGATTTATACTTATTTTTGCAATTATGAGTTTACATTCCTCTTATTTACACATAATATATATTTTATTTCTACCAATTCTTACACTTATACTTCACTTTACGAACACAATTATCCATGGGGAAAATTCCATTAAAAGACCTAACTTTTGGAAATTGTATTAAGGCCTGAATTTATTCTTTCTAAATACAAGGCTTACATTTTAGGTTATTCTCAATTTAAGGCTCATTTTTTAGTTAACTACTCCTTATGAGGCTCAATTAACTTTATCTTTTGTCATAATTATGTGAAATAACTATTATGTGAACAAATCTATTATTATTTTTCTTGTAATTTATATTTTACATACTTATAATAAAAAAAATATTTTTACTAAAATTACATTAATAAGAAAATGAAACTATATAAATTGCAATGATATAAAGTGTAATGAAAATTATTTTTAAAAAATGATAATTTGAAAAATATGCAATTAAAATATTATTTTTATTAAGAATATGAATATGTAATAAAACTAAAAATAATATTTAAATAATGTTGCCTTCATTTTAGCTTTTCAGGATTTTAACTTTTCTTTTTGGACGCAGAAGTTGATATCGTGCCATTGTTGGCTGAAAAAGATATATTTTTGTGGACTGTATTTAGATATTATTTTTTGTTAGTTACATATTTGAATTATTAATAAAATTAATATTTTCATAACGTGTTTTATAAATTCGGTTATCATTTTTTTTTAAATAATCATTATAAACTTTAGCATAAATATAGTTTATATAATTTTGTTTTCTTATTAAGAAAATTTTATTAAAGACATTTATTATTTTATATTGTAAGTATGTAAAATATAGTTACAAATAAAAAAATATTCTTTTTTCACATAACTACAATTATATCATAAAATAAAGTTAATTGGTTTACATTTTTATGTCAAAAAGTAAAGTTAGTTGGCCACACAATTAGAAGTTAATTAAAAAGTGAGACTTAAATTGAGAATAACCTAAAATGTAAGTCTTCTATTGAGAAATAATAAAATTCATGACTTAAACTAATACAATATCAAAAAGTTGGATCTTGTAATAAAATTTGCCCTACAAAAATCTATATAACCCATTTAAATGCATGACATTTTTCTAATATATTTTTACTAATAGTTGTAGTAAGTCGATCAGCTGGTAATATTTATGATAAAAAAAATCAGTAAGACTTGTTAGATTTATTTAATGATTAGATAGTTATATATTTTTTTAATAAACATGCATATTGTTAAATGAAATTAGGGTTGTTAAGGAACCGGATGTTCACAAACAAAAGCTCGTTCATGTTTGACAAGAGCGCATTTGTTTGTTAATCAAAGCGAGTTCGAATAGAAAATTAAACCCGTTTAATAATCGAACAAACACGAGCTCGTTCGCGAACGTTCGATAATAGTCGAGAACATTCATTTAATATAATTTTATTTTATTTTTTGTATTTTACATGATGTTTTTTCATAAAAAAATGTATAATATCAAAATATTTTTATTTTTATTTCCGAGTTCGAACAAACATTTTTGCGTTAATTAATTATACTTAAAAGTGTGTTCTTAAAATTATTCGAACATGAACGGATTATAATTTTGGGAATTGAACGAACAAGCTCGAACATGTTTTTTGCTCGAAAAATAAACGAACAAATACGAACATTGTTCGAACGTAAAGGGACCCGAGCTCGAAATTCCCAAGCTCGACTCATTCAGTTCAATTACAACATTAAATGGAACTATCATACTTTTTTTTTTTTCCAAGGCAAACAAACAAATTTATATAACTCAAACCACAATCAAGTAGCAGATACAACTAATGATCAAATGATCATTGGACCCTGAGAAAACATAAGAAAACCCAGAGCCTACGAGGAAAAAACAATTTCTTCCCCTCAAAGACCACCATGGCCATAACATAAACTAACAACAAAAACTAGAAAATCTTAAAATGTTGAATGTTACATAACACACACAAATCCAGAATATGATTAACAAGGGAGCTTAATTTACAATCTTCAGGAGCATTCTTGTTTAGAAGCTTGACCGCACCAATATTGTTCAGAAATCCATGACCCTGTTTTCAGTTAAATGCAGAGCTTTGTACCTTGAGCAAACTCCACTGAGTGGCCAAAAGTGCAGCTTCCACTTCAGATGTAGCACCTACAATGGTTCATGTCCACTCTACCTTGTGATCAACCTTCAGCTTGAGTATGCATTACACTTCAGTGATTCCTTCTTTAGATAATTGAGCACTGATAGCCAACCAAGGCTTACCTACTCTCTCCACAAGATCATCTGAACCAAGAGTACCACTGCTATGAACCTGTCTCAGCTCCCATTCAATCCATTCAGCTCTTGCTCCCTCCACAATTTCAGTCTCATGAATCCAGTCACCCTTAAAAACCCATTTGTTTCTAGCTTTCCAAATACTCCACATAAGGAAAGCTGAGAGATGAATTTTGTCCTGCAAATCTGCTTTCATCCTTTTTACACAAGTGCTTCTCCACCATCTTTGGAAATCCTCAGAATTTTGAGCAGTGACATTCCAATCCAAGCCACACATTTTCCAACACATAACAGATTTTGGGCAATTAAAAAGAAGGTGACTCAAACTCTCAATTCCCTCTCCACAAACAGGACAAATCAGGTCCAAATCCATACCTCTTTTACAAAGCCTCTCCTTAACCCCTAAATAATCAAACCAACATTTCCAGATAAACAGTTTGATCTTTGGTTTGATATTTAGGTGCCAAGTAGAGTCCCACATTTTTTTCCACCAATTCCCACCTGCACTTGTAGAGGCTAGATCCTTCACTGTGGTCTTGTGAGCCATCAAAGTTTTGTACACACCTTTAACAGAAAAATCTCCCCTCTTACTCCCATCCCAGACCAACTTGTCCTTTTTCCTAACAGCAGTTAGAGGAATTTTTAAAATAAGCTCAGCATCCTCTGGATCAAAGGTTTGAAAAACCAACTCCCTATCCCACTCTCTCCCCCCCTCCTGAATCAACTCACTCACCAAATGAATCCTATCTCTATCCCCACTAAAACAGCATCTAGGTTTAAATTTGGGTTTATTAGGGATCCAAGGATAATCCCACACTTTAATACTAGTCCCATCTCCCACTTCAAACCTAGCCCCAATACTAAAAGACTCTCTAGCCCCTAACCAGCTTTTCCAGAGCCAAGAATCCCCTTGTTTAGCCTTGACCTCCCACAAACTACAATTCCAAAAATACTTACCCTTGACCACCCTGCTAACTAGCAGATTAGGAGAAGACACCAATCTCCAAAGCTGCTTGACTAACAAAGCCTCATTAAAAACCCTTAAATCCTTAAAACCCAAACCTCCATCATCCTTAGACTTAGCTAGTTTCTCCCACTCAGCCCAATGCATCCTAGACCCCTCTGTCTCATTCTTACCCCACCAAAAGTTTGCAATGTCCCTGCATATCTGATTAATAATAGAAATAGGAACTCTGAAACAAGACATCACATATAAAGGAAGAGCACTCAACACAGCTTTTATTAAAACCTCTCTCCCTGACTCACTCAAGAATTTGTTTTTCCAACTCATAATTTTAGCTCTCACACACTCATTGATATACTGAAAAATGTCTTTTTTAGATCTTCCTATGCCTAAAGGAAGCCCCAAATATCTAGAAGATTGAACCCTGTTAATGCCAGATAACATTCCACAGATTTGTAACTGAGTCCCATCAGGAGTATTCTTAGAAAAGAGAACAGAAGATTTATCAAAATTCACAACCTGCCCAGAATCATGGCCATACATGAAGAGAATTTCACAAATAAGTCTAGCATGATAATACTCTGCCTTGCAAAACAGGATAAAATCATCTGCAAAAAACAGATGACTCACAGTGGGAGCATGATGACCTATTTTAATCCCCTTATATCTCCCTGACACACAAGCATTATTGACAAGATTGGAAAAGGCTTCTGACACAAGAATAAATAGATATGGAGACAAGGGGTCCCCTTGTCTAAGACCCCTTGTTGGCTGCAGATACCCTAGCACTGACCTACTCACATTAAAAGAATAAGACACAGAACACACACATGCCAGAACCCAAGACAAAAAAACTTCACTAAACCATGTGTCTGCAAATGGTAGCAATAAAAGCCCATTCAACCCGGTCATAGGCTTTAGCCATGTCCAGCTTAATAGCCATATAATGCTGCTTACCCTTCCTTTTACTGTTGAGATAATGCACACATTCATTAGCTATGATTACATTGTCAAAAATTTGCCTACCAGGCACAAATGCAGACTGAGAATGAGAAATGCAACCAGGTAAGACTTTTTTTAATCTATTAGCAATGATTTTAGCTATCAATTTGTAGATCACATTGCATAAGCTTATAGGCCTGAAGTCAACAACTCTGGTAGGGTTCTTTTTCTTAGGAATAAGAGAAATCACAGCATGATTTAAACCTTTAGGCATTCTCCCAGAGTTAAAAAAGTTTTTCACTGCCAAACACACATGATGCTGAATAATAGACCAAGATTTTTGAAAAAAACAAGTAGTAAACCCATCCTCCCCTGGAGCTTTATCCTGGTCCATGCTAAATAATGCACACTCAATCTCCTCATCATCAACCATTCTAGTCAATCTATCATTCATGTCCTGATTGATGGATCTAGGAATTCCTTCTAAACTACATTTCTGATCAATGGGATTAGAAGATTGAAACAGACCATCAAAATACTCAAGCAACTCAGCCACTGTTTCATCTTTATTAGCACAAATGGACCCATCAGCTTTAGTAAGATTATCCAGACTATTCAATCTTCTTCTATGATTCACACTGGCATGAAAAAATTTAGAATTTCTATCCCCTTCCTTAAGCCAAGAAACCCTAGATTTCTGCTTCCAAAACAACTCTTCACTCTCATAAGCTAACTGAATATCAATTCTACACTTATTCCATTCTCTCCAATCCCTATCCCCCCCTTGAATCCTCAGCTTATCCAACTTATCCAGACAAGAAGCAATTGCAAACTAGAATTAGACACATTCTGCTTAGACCAATGAATAAGAGCATTTCTGACATTTTTAATTCTAAGTTGAATACTATATAAAGCATGACCAGAAGTATCAATATTCCAAGCAGAATGCACAATATCCTGAAAACCATCCATCCTAACCCATCTAGCATCAAAGACAAACCTTTTTTTCCAAGACTTACAAACAGGCAAACATTCAAAAAGCAGCATAGAATGATCAGAAGAGAATGCAGAAAAATGCCTAATCTGAGAGTTGGGGAAATGGCTAAACCAGTCAGGAGAAAACAGAAATCTATCCAACCTTTCTTCTATAGCTTGGTCATTTTTTCTATTATTAGTCCATGTAAATGGATGCCCAATAATTTTGGCTTCAAGACCACCTATACAAGAAATAAAATTCTTGAAGTCCACAAAACTGGATTCCTCTCTAATGACCCCTCCCAACTTCTCTGAATTATCAATAATATCATTGAAGTCCCCGCAAACAAACCAACACTCCCCCCAGTACAAACTATGCCTAACAAGAATTTCCCACTGCATCCTCCTAATCTCACAACTGGTACTAGCATAAACAAAAACCCCCCAAAAGACTTCAGAGAAAACCATCCTTAGAAAATTTAACTTCTAAACAAAATCCAGAATCAATAATATCAAGCACAGAAACTCTATCAGACCAACAGAGAAATAAGCCACCCTTAAACCCAATGGGTTTAACATAATACCAATTATCAACTAACTTAAGTTTTCTACACATAGACTCAACAATTTTTTTTTTATTTTTTTTTTATTTTTTTTTTTGTTTCTGATAAAAAAGAAAAATCAGGGGAGTGGGTTCTAAGGAATCCCTTGAACTGAGAAATTGTAGAGGATCCCCCCAAACCTCTACAATTCCACACCATAACCTTCATTGGCCACTTGGGGACCAATTAGGGCTGGTTCCCTCCACCTCTAAGTTAAGCACAAAAACAGTTTTTTTTGCATTTCTTAGAAATTTGACCCAACTCAACATCAACAGCCTCATCCTGGACCAAAACCTCAAATCCTCTCTTCATCACACCCTTACCCTTGTCTCCCTCCTGGTTAACCACAGTGTCAACCAGCATGTTATCAGCCTTCCTACCACTATCAGAAGCCAACCCCTTAGAAGAACTGGCTTTCTTTCTGCGAACAACCCTTCTTCCCATGGATAGAGGTTGCACATTAATTTCCACCAGATTTTCTTCTAACTGAATTAAGGACTCAGGGTGACACTCCTTATCCTCAGAAGATAAAGGAGCGACAGCTTTGTCAACTCTATCCTTAGAGACCCCTTTACTTTCAGAACCTGCACTCTGATTCTTGTTCTTATCAGAAGGACATAGAGGAACAGAGTGACTAGGTTCACCATGACTGCTCTTATCTCCCACAACACTCTTAACTAAATTATGTTCAGGGGTTGGAATATTGATATCAGAATCAACATGGCCACCAAGGTTTTGATTAGAGAGACTCCTAGAACTACTGGAAACAGTTCCACTAGTTTTTAGCCATTCCCCATATTGCCCCAGTTTAACGGAATTTTTCTTAATATCCTCTTTCTTAATCATGCAACTCCTATCTGAATGCCCTATTCTACCACAATAATAACAAAACCTCTGAAGGTTTTCATACCTGAAGTCCACCCATCTATTTTCCTCTCCCATTTTGATGTGTGTTCCTCTAAGAATTGGTTCATTGAGCTTGATTTCCACCAGCACTTTCAGAATTTGGCCCAATGCACTTCCTGCTCCTGGAGTTTGCACATCAATGGGGTTACCCAGCATTCGGCCCAATTTCAGCCCTGTTTCCAAGGAAATCCAATGAAGAGGAAGATTAAGAACTTGCACCCAAATTTTAATGTTTTCCTCCTCTTCCTGAAATTCATTACCCTCAGGCTTCCATATTTTTAATAAAATATATTGGCCATCAAAAGACCAAGATTTACCCTCTAGAATTTTATCTCTATCCTGTTCAGAACCAAAGAGAAATTGAAAACTATTATTCCTTAAATTCCTAATAGAAAAAGGCTTCTTAGTAACCCAGAGGCCTCCTAACGTTGTTTTCAATCCACTAAAGTTAACCCTCTTCTCTCCATAAATCTTCCCAATCAAACTCAACTGACAATCACGAAGAATCGGGGCTATATCATCCCCAAATAATTCAATCCCATGTTCCTCCCTATCAGAAAGGTTGAAACGGAGAAGTTTATCAGAAATTTCCTGATCCATCACAGAACAACACTAGATCTACCAACCTAAGGCACTATGAGCACAACAACAAGCAAAAACCAACAATACACAACAATGCTCAACAATATGTAATCATAACACAAATGATAAGCATAAAACAACAGCAATCAAACAGGTAAACAACATTAATCAAGCGAACCGGGCTGAAATTGCTAAAACTGACACCACCCAGACCCTCGCTAAACCCTACCAAATTCCTCCCCCAAGGACATAGCACAACGAAAATCCCATCTCAAAGAAAGAAAAAGACTACCGACCCACACGAAACGGGGAAGGCAGCGAATCAAAGAACAAGGAACGATGGAACTCAGAAAAACAAATCCTATGAAAGGAACTGGAACTCTAAACAGAGACAAACCCCAACTTCGGTAATGGAACTATCATACTTAAAAATCAATAATGAAAATATTGTTATGAAATAATAAAATAATGTATGTGAATGACTATTTTGCCCTCGATGTATTTGTATTATTACGAGTTGTGCCATCAGAAGTTTCCTATAAATAGGACCTTCAGTTATAATGAAAATCGTACCTAAGAGAATACATTTTCTCTATTCTCTCTCTTTCTCTCTAGTTTTATAACACGTTATCAGTACGAGTCTCTACCCTTCAGAGCTCGATTTGTAATATGACGAGAGTATGCTCTACATTTGCGTCTTATAGATGATCTTCTGTATCAGAAATCGAAATATTACAAAGTTATTATTTTCCTTCAAACAATTTGAAGCCATAAGCTCTTAAGCTCCCATGCCATTACTGATCATTAGCTATCCAAAACAATCTAAAATGCTAAAAAGCTCTTTTCATTTCCACTTACACGGTCATACAGTGAGAGAGAAAGAAATGTAAAAGTTTGTTCTACTTATACAAATGAGAATTTTTCTACTCCGAAGCTCGCAGAACTTAACAATGGAGGACGAGAAACATACTCTCTTGATTTGTGAAGGATGACAAGAGGTACAGAGGTGTAGCTGTTAGTGTTCTTCAGACCCTGGTTTCACTATTTCAAGAAGAAGGTAAAATCTTCACTTGAATATTTTATATCATGGGTAGTTTATTTAATAATAGTAATAATACTTTTGAGAGTAGTAAATCAAAGAATGCATAAAATTGAGAACATTGAAAATGTTGAATACAAAGAGAAAAATGGTGTAGGCAGGTTTACAAATGATTCAATGCCTTAGTATCCAATTGCTACCTGATTGGTGAGGAATGAAAAGTCTGATTCAATGTATTTGATTAAAATGAATAGTGCCTCATTTAATGTGTTTGATTGATTATTAAAAGAGGGTCCTTCACTAGTTGTCCATTAATGCCATGAGGAAAGATACACAAAATGAGATATGGAAAATGACATGTGATGACTAATGTCCGCAACAAACAAAACAATGGAGTATGGACATTTTATGTCAAACAAATCATGAAAAATCAATATAACACTCCAATTATTCATTGAGCTTCAAATAGTTTTTTCTCGAATACAAAAGCATACATTATCAAAATTAGAAATTTACAAATTCATAATATTTCATTTAAATAGAGCTTCGATTTAAGACCAATATTGATATGATTTATTGAATTATATTAATATATATTGTCATTATGAACTGTTGATTTTCTTCTATTGAGAAAATTATTTGGTACATGAACGTGCGAATATTTATGGATTGACCCTTGTGATATGAAAAGAAATATGTGTGGCTATATGGATCAGCCAGTGCGGCTCTGCCGCCGGCAAGTAATATTTAATGGTAACCAACGGGTCAATTATTGATCAAAAATATTATAAAGAAATATGACCGATCATATGAAATGGCCAAGTGTTGCAGCCACCAGCAACAGATAATATTGAACGGCTAAATGGATCAGTCAGTATATTAATGATAACCGGTGATATAGAATGGCCAGGTGGCAACGCCACGTGCAACAAATGAATGGCTATACATATACATGGGTCGGCCAGTGCGGCACTGCCGCCGGCGATGGGCAGTACAAATTAAGTGATAGCCAATGAGTGAAATTAATGATACTTTGTATCTGACCATGTGAAAGTTAATTAAAGTCCTTGTCATGAACAGACATTATATGGACTAACCTGGTCCTGAAGTATCAGTTGATAAATTCTCCAAATTTATGGAGATATGAATATTGATGAGATGGTACTATAAGTTACCACATGATTAATGTGATGTCGGAAGTTATGGCATAATGATTAAATGATATCATGGTATAGTAGTACTGGATGCTACCACTTTATGATTAAACAAAGTGATGAAATGGTACTAGAAGCTACCATTGGATGATTGAACAAAATGAGAAAGTGGTATCAAAAGCTACCAGCTATGGGTGATCACACAAAAATGATTTCTCAATATATTATATAAGTCTAAGGGGCTATATCAGATGACGAGATCACATTGGGATACGAGATCATACAGATATTACAATAAAGTGCTCCGGAAGAAGCACAAATGATAATGATTGTAGTCATGAACTACTATACACTGAGAAAAATCGAAATTGATATTATTATTACTGAGAAACAAGTACAAAATGTTCAGATGGTGGAAATATGGAAAAGAGGCAGTAAATACTCGATGAATACAAAATACGCAAAGATTACATAATAGAACCCATAAAAGAAGGGTGCGTCTCGAGAGTGTAAAACTCCGTAACTCTGCCACCCATGAATGATATCTGGGTTCATATTTGAATAATATCTGGGTTCATAATGAGAGATCTAAAGGATCAAAAGCTCTTTTTCGCTTGACCCCTTGTGTTTCCACAGAATCTTGAAATGTGATGCATTCTTGAAGCTTTTTGATAAGTTCAGCAGACGTGTCAGCAGATTTGAATACTTCTCTCATTGAAGGAGATATAAAGGTTTGATATACTCCTATGTCTAAAAATCCAAGCAAACCATGAAAGAAGTTATTAAAGTTCAATAGACCTATGGGCTTGTTATGAAGTTTCAATTCTGCCCATAAAGCAATGGTGAACATTGTCATTAGCGTTCCATACCCGCCTGGAAGAATGATAAAAGCATCGCTATTGTTCACCATATCCATCATACAATCATGAATGGAATGAGTTAACATCATGCTTGTGGAATCCTTGACGACCTTTGTTGAAGCTCTACGAAAAGGTATGATACTTTTCACTTCTATCTCAAAACATTGTCCAGCCATTAAGAGACTATCATAGAAAGTATTGCTAGTCCCTCCATACAGCAAATTGATTTTTTGATTCCCCATCTCTTTGACTAACTGACTTACAATATCAATAGTTTGAGAAAAACTTACCAGTTTAGAACCACCAAGAACACATATGGTTTTGATCGGTTGAAGAAAATTATTACCTTGCGAAGACTCTGAAACATCCATCTATTTATTGATAAACTGAATTTTTCAAAACTTTGTGAGGCATATGATTATGATGAACGACTCGCTATTTAAATAGAAAGTTTTACAAAGCAATAAATAATTTTACTGTTTTCTTCTGACAATTGCAACTGACAGATAAGGTGTTGGGTTTTAAATAAATCTTATCTGTCGGCAACTATAAGTTTTTCTAGAAAATTACAGTACAACATACTAAACTGTATTAGTATGATTTTTCGTACTAACAAGACCAGTTTTACAAACTTGATCTTTTGAAATAATATTTTCGAGACTATAACGTTCTTCTTCATTTTTGAACTGAATCCATAAAGACATAAGCTCACGATGCACGTATCCACTAGGATGTGTCTCAAGAATCTGTTGAATCGTTTGATCCAAAGACTCCTTACTCAATCCATCCTTTATAAACGTTATTTTATCTTCTCGATTTTTGGACACGTACCCCACAGATATACATCGTGTGTCACAAGTCCATCGAGCGCATTTGAAGCATCCACCTAACCTTTTTGCTCTTCGTTTCTTTGCATAAGTACTTTTACCCATACCTGGCATTTATTTATATGAACTTGGAAACTCTCCAGACAATCGAACTTGTGCTTCGATCAACCATCTAACATCATTTGAAATACCATTATTCATTAGCATCCTCAATCTTTCTAATCGAGATCGATAAATCCTTTTTATGATATTTTTCGGAAGAAAAGAATAATATTTACGGATATTTGAGAGTGCTAAATCTATTTGTAAATTCGGACCTTTGTTAAAGAAAATTGAATGAATTACCTGATAATTTATAGAAAAATATGATGCGTATGAGATACGACTCTGGACTTAAACAGTGTTCAAAAGTATGTGTGTCAGACAACATGATACGATTCTGGATTTAAACAGTGGTTAAAAGATATTATACCAGAGCCTACACTTAAAGTGCATTTATTGCCGCCGAAAGATGATGTGAAATGTTTGTGATAAACATGTCACAACGAATTATTGTGATCACTTTAAAAATGTTTACCGATATTATTGATGATGTTTGCATGATGAACTTATTCTTTGTGATATGAGATGCTTGTTCCCGATTAGTGAAAAATATAACTAGCTAAATATTTGTGAATCGATATATGATCAATCTGAGTATGAAAGGGGTACGATATATATGAGCCCACTACCCCTCCATGTGTGCTACTAGATATTATGGATCCACTAGATAGCCACATGTGTGTGATTCGTAACCTGAAGTTACGAGATGATTTGATCAAAGAATGTGTATATGACATGTAACCTGAGTTTACGAGATGGTTTGATCTAAGGATGACACAAGATGATTATGAAAGAATGAAAATAAGTATTATATGAAAGCGATAAAGCTAGTAATATACTCACCTGATATGATGAACTCTTGAAAGAAAAATGTGCACACTACAAATGATATGAGTTCAAAGTCCTCCAAATATATGTTGAAATCAAGAACAAAATAGAGACTATATGAACTCCCCTCAAGAAATTCAATACTAAAAATACAGATCAGGAATCTGTTAAGATGAGGGAGAGAATCAATGATTGAAATTTGGAAAATGATATATGCATCACAGTGAAAGTGTGCAAATCATAAACTATATGATACTGATGATGATGAATTATATGAAATGATATGATAGTGGAATAATACGCTGGAAGCATTGGTATTGTGCAAATTGAAATTCCCCGAATAAGTGATGAAAGAGGGTATATTTACTATTGTTGAAATCAATTGATAATGAGATATCTCAATATACTACGGGGAATAATGGAAATGAATAAGTGTCGACACAAACAAATGAATAGCGATATATAAATTATATTGACGAGAATGAAATCAGCTGAAATGTGAATATTGGGAACTATTGGCAGTAACACCATTGAAATCAATTGATGATGAGAATGAGTTTAAGAATAAACGTTGCACAAAGCATGATATGACATATTGTCATGAATACCATCAGTATCTGAAAATCTGAACGAATTTATATGATACTCATACAAATTATGGAAAGATTATTATGGTGAATATATGAAATACGCGTTGTACTCTTTTTCCCTTGGCTAAGGTTTTGTCCCATTGGGTTTTCCTAGCAAAGTTTTTAATGAGGCAACAAGGATAGCGTATTCACATGAATAGTGTACTCTTTTTCCTTCATTAGGATTTTGTCCCACTGGGTTTTTCCTAATAAGGTTTTAACGAGGCATATTCATGGTATCATGAGCACTATTGGATAAATGATATGATTCCTCACGGTGATAAGAGAGACTGGAGTAGCTGTACTCTTTTTCCTTCGATCAAGTTTTTTCCCACTGGGTTTTCTTGACAAGGTTTTAACGAGGCAGAACACATGGATACTCCACTAAAGATGATCTATTTGAGGGGGAGCAAAGTTGTGCTTCCACGATGATCAGGTTTTGTCCCACCGAGTTTTCCTGACGAAACAATGTTATGATTTCACGATGATCAGGTTTTATCCCACCAGGTTTTCCTGACATGTTGAAGCAACGGTACCTGATGGCCACAAGATACACTTGAAGATGTACAGATTGGGCTTTATTCAAATTAGTTAAAATATGTTTAGAAAATAGTCATTCAAGGGGGAGTGTTATGAAATAATAAAATAATGTATGTGAATAACTATTTTGCCCTCGATGTATTTGTATTATTACGAGTTGTGCCATCAGAAATTTCCTATAAATAGGACCTTCAGTTATAATGAAAATCGTACCTAAGAGAATACATTTTCTCTATTCTCTCTCTTTCTCTCTAGTTTTATAACAAATATGACATCTTGTAGCATAAATTTTTATTTTTGTAAGAAAAATATGATAAGACAACCCACATGGATTATATAGTCCCTAAAAGTTAAAAACTATCTTTGCAATATTTTCACTATGCTAAAAGAATTTGTATTAAAAATTATATTTGCAAGCAATATTTTCACTATGCTCAAATATCAACTGAGTACCCACATTCTATATTCTAACCAATCTCTATGATCAAAAGAGTAGAATATAAATTCATAAAACAAGGCATATATGCGACCTTATTCCACCCCCACCTGCACACCGTAAACGCTGTCGTTTGGTATTTTTTGTTCCGCCATCAAAACATCCATACCATAACCGCCTAGACGCTGTGGAGCTAGCTCATCGGCAATGGCGGAGAAACCCCAACCGCTTCAGGTCCTGTACTGCGGAGTGTGCGGGTTGCCGCCGGAGTACTGCGAATTCGGGTCGGACTTCGAGAAATGCAAGCCTTGGTTGATCCGGAACGCGCCCGACGTTTACCCGGATCTCATCAAAGGTTTTTACTGCCCTAAATTCTGGTTAAGAATGTTTAACCTAATTATATTGTTGATTCGATAGTCTGATGCTTTTTTCCGTTCTGTTTTTATTTTGACCTGATTTTTTAGAGGGTGGCGCGAATGACGCTGATAAGGTATCTGATCAGCTTCAATCAACTTCTATATCATCCGATGGTACAGTATTATTCCCTTTTAAATGTTTCGTATGTTAGTTCCAGTTTATGCTCGGATGTAGTATTTGTCGTTTCCTGGGTTTTGTTTGTCACATGTTACACCTTGTGCTAATCTGGTGCTCATCTTCGAAATGTTTTTACTTTCTGGGGCTTAGTTTTTCATTCTGAAATCACAAGACTTTCTAGTTCTGTTTAGCTTTTCTCATTCCATTGCCGGAACGTATAACTCACCGTTGCTAGTTGATGAATTAAAGTTATTTATGCGAGATTGCTGCCGTGTCACCATCTTCAACCATCTTCATCATCGTGGGAGTGGTATATATTGTAGTTAGCTGCTTTCATGAGGAAGCCAAAACCTGAATGGCAGTTGTAGTTTTCGAATTTTATGAAGGGTCGACTTGTGGGGGTAGTGGGATTGTAATTATTAATGTATTGGAAATAAATGAGTTGCCTTTCCTTTGGTGTTTGCTCAGATTTTTTCTCGGACTATGATGTAGTGGGAAATAAACTGTGATTGTGAACAATTGATTTAGAGTTTTTTATTTATAAATTAACATCACAGTATTCTGTGGTAAACTACTCCCTTGGCCACAGCAGGTCCTTCGAAACCGAAAGAAGAAGTCAAGCGTCTGCCAGGTGGGAAGATTAAGAAGAAGGTAAGTCTTCAGTCACTTTATTCTAGAGTTCGATTGAAGTTATTTGGTTCTCTGAAGGGAGAATTATAATGTTAAGTACTTCATAATGTTTTCTCTAAAATGATATGGGTTTTCATGTTATGGTATAATGTCTTTGACGTGCACTACTATGCTTTATTACTAGCCCTAGTTTATAGAATTCAAAGTCTGAACCTTCTTTGAACTTTTTGTGCTTCTATCATCACAGAATGCTAACTTAACTGGCATTTATAATTAGGTTCACATAAGCACAGAGAGGAAGCCTTTGATTGGTTTATTCTTGGATATGGACATTCGTCACGAAGTCAAAATTCATCTGCTGATTATTTTGGAATGTAGATTCTTAAGCTCCCTTAGCTTAGAGTTTAGTAAACATTAATTTAGCATGAATTGAGCATGAAGTGGTTACTGGAAAAAAGCAGAAGATGTCCTATGAGAAGGCATGAAACAGACTGTCTTTTCTCTGGTTTCAATGCTGTGTGGCTAGACCTATTGTTTCCCTGGCTTATCTCTACTGAAAAATTAGGAGTGTCGTGTTCCATGTGATATTTCAGGAAATAATGTTGGCACTTCGTAAAGTCATCCTCTTCATATAAAATTTTTATGCTCTAAGTTTGCATTCCTGGTAATGCTTGAATGATCATTAAAGGTGTTATACTCTTCCTTTTAGGTATGTCTGCCCAACTTTGGTGTCTTAAGGAATTTCCATATTATCTGGAAAAACCGGATTATAAAGGGAAGATTGGGGATTGGAGAAGGGTGGATTAAATCATTAAACATGCTGGGTTTAGCTGAAAATAGGGCCATATAGGATAGAGAGAAGATATGACTGTTGTTGTATGGTAAGGGAAAAACCTTGTTTTTAGACATAGGCATCCGTGGTGGGAAATAAGGGGTGAAGCCTTTGTGGGTCTGTCAAATAAGGACCATTTTACTGACAAAACCAGTTCATTATTTATTTCAATGTTATTGTTACTGTGTTCTTTAGTTACTTCATTAAGTAAAAATTTCCTAGAGGTGTTATTACAACAATTATATTTGTTATGTATTTTTATTCAAAACGTTATTTAGTTTGATTAATGATGAGTACAACAGTTATATCTGGTGCATGGGAACTGAAGAAAGAGAAGCAAACTACATTTTCCTCTTATGCATTTCGCATAATTCTGTAAAATGCTGATAAAACAGGACTCAATTAACTGTGTTACAGGAGAAGCAGGAAGTTATCATTGAAAAGATGACTCGCAACAAGCGCAAATGTATAACCACTGTGAAAGGCCTGGAACTTTTTGGTGAGGATGCTTTCCTTCCATTTCTTTATTGTTTCATGTGCTTCTGTGACGAGTGTGTGTTTCTGAATTTAGTAGAACTCACTTTTAATTTGTAAACTTTCAGGTGTTAAACTAAATGATGCATCTAAGAAGCTTGGCAAAAAGTTCGCCACTGGAGCTTCTGTTGTGAAGGTAGGTTGGTTTTTGTCGTCTTAAAACTCTTTGTGCACTAAGTATCCACTGGTAATTATTTATTTTATTTTTTTAATTTTCTTCTGTATTTTCTTCCAGGGTCCTACTGAGAAGGAGCAGATTGATGTTCAAGGAGACATTTCCTATGACATAGTGGAGTTCATCACAGATACCTGGCCTGATGTAATCTCTTTTCTTTTCAATCATAATTTTGCTTCATATATGGGATGTGTTCTGCCTTAAAACCTCTTGGAACCTGTTTCACTTAGTTAAAGACAATTTCTCATTGATTAGCAGAATTTAGCCTTATTGTCTTTGATAAATGGGCTTGGATAGAACTCATCCCCAGAAGCTAGCTCTAAGGGAGAGGGTGTGCCCACCACACTTATACATCATAACAGCCCAGTAACTAATCAGTGTGGGACAAACATAACTCCTAATACCCGCCATCACGCGCAGTGTGCCAAACGAAATGGGTCGGGTCCACCAAACCTAGGTGCTCTGTTACCATGTTATCTACTGAAGATCTGTATATTTCATATGTTCCAAGGAGTACAAGAGCCCTATTTATATCACAACTAGGAGAATAATAATCCTAATCAAATGTAGATAGAATATATTATTTCCTAAAAGGACTATTCTACAATATACATTATACATAAACAGTCTTATATTAAGCAACTTCATTAAAAATATAGTAGTAATGTAATTATTTCTCTAGGCTAATGAATCCTACGTATTTATATTTATATTTCAGGTTGTGCTATGTCTGTAAATTAAACATACTAGTACAATACCCGTGTACTACACGGGTACTTGTTCAATTTTTTTTTATAATTAAATAATAATAACAGAAATTGTTTTAGTTTTGAAATACGTTTTAGAAAAAATATATTATTATTTATATTTAAAATGATACCGTCATATATACGACTTACCATTTTATATTATATTTTTTTTAATTTATATGAGATAACTACTTTGTAGTTAAGTTAGTTTAAATAACTCCATTTTTTGGAATTTTTTAATAGGTAATTTAATCTTAATTATAAAGATAAATAAAATTATTTATTTATTTTTGTATGTATAATATAGGAGTCAAATCGAAGTTCATCAAGACATGATTAATATTATATATTATATATAAAAAATTTATTAACTTCTAAATATATTTATAATTTAAGTTAGTAATTTTTTTATAATTCTAGAAGAAATATATGAAAAAAAAAAATAAAGATTGGGAAAAAAGGTTATACCTTATAAACCACGTCTACAATAGGAAATAATATTATAACATAATTAATACTCTTAAAAAGAACTATAAATATCCAGTATACTTATAAATATTCCAAGTCTAGTTACATTTGGATTAGAAATAAATTAAAATTTATCCAAGCCAAACGCCAAAGCTTAAAAATTTGTCACGAAGCGTGCGGGCCTGCCACTTAGGCTCAGTACATTCGGAAATTATGTGTGACGAAACTTCAATAAAAAAAACTTTTCATTGTTACTGTATTCCCAATGAGAACTCCACTCTGATATAGTCAACACTAGAAGCAAGGCACTTATTTGTTTAGCTATTCGTCATTACTAAAAGTCGGAATTTAGCATAAGTTGAAGAATGAAGAGTGCATTTGTTAATTCTGCCAACTTCCTTTGATTGCTGCAATTATAGTGATTACATGTTGATTTTGAGCATATTATCCCTTGAGCGTGCCCTCACTTAAGGATTTGGTTAGCCGAACCTTCAGTCCTGATTTCCTGCGATCTAGGGCCACAAGAAGCAGGTAGTTAACCTTGGGCCTTGTACATAAACAGATAAACTCCTTCGTATCTTGGATTTCTCTTGTATCTTGTGCACTCTCTGATATGTATGACTTATTTCTATCATGTCATCGTTAAATTGCTTTGAATTAATCCTATGACATGGTTCTTCTATGCATGCATTAGTGCCTTGCTAATACCTCTACCTATGTACAGCTCCCAGCATACATCTGCTGGTTATTTTCATTTTCAATTACACTTACATGTTTTCATCAAAGTTGGTTATGACAAAAAAACTCAGTCAACATGTTATCCTTTTTTCGGTATTTTAAGGTCCCGGAGACTGCTATTTTCTTTATTGAGGATGGGAAAAAGGTTCCAGCTGCGTAGATGTGGGAACAGACTACCTTACTGTGGGTGTGCAAACTTCACGAAAATCGGGTCTTTCTTTGGAAAGCATTGGGATTATGCCAGAAAAATGTTTTTTCTGTTCTTATTGAAAGCTTTGAGATAATGCCATTATGTTTTTGCTTTGGTTTGTATATGACCGAACGAATTATTTCTCTGTGGCTGTAGTTCGGGATTGTCATGAAGATATTCGCTCGAGTAATGTGGTGGTTGCAGTGAAGTTTTTTTTTTTTTATGCATTCAGACAAGATATAAATGTAGTATTTTTCCTTTTCAAGGTTCAGGCTTGGCTGCTTTCTTTAAATTTGATGCATCTTTCGTTCGTTTTGTTTATGTTTGTTTGGATTAACATACGCATAGAAGTTTGTCCAAATGGGGTATTTCCCTCATATGCTCACTCTTTTATTGATAGTTAAAAATGTACAAGATAGAGGTTGAATTCTGTTTAAAAATGATTTGTTTTAATTTGTTGTTCTTACCTTGTACGTGGGGACCAACAAATTTACAAGCATTCAAACAAAATGTTTATTGGGTTCATGATTATAACTAATTTGGATAATTATTTTTTTTAGTAAGGACAAGCAATGTATATATTAAGCATCTTTTTAATGAATATTAAGTAACTATGTAAAGAAACAGGTAATTATTGTTTCATATATAGATTATACACATAGGTAAATTAAATGAATATATTAGGGTAGTGAGAAATTTATTGGTTGTGTAATTATTATAAATTATTGGGTAGATATAGCACAGAGCTCGATCTCGAACCGGGGATCTTATGTAGCTTGGTGTTGGCCTGGAGGTCCCTTAGCTTGACTTAGAGGAGACAAGTAGGTCGAGGTCGATGCAGTTTTCAGTAAGTGGTCGACCTGCGTCTGGATGACCTCAAGCTTAGATTGGCGAGATATCATGTGATAGCAAATATAGCTCTAGAGTGTAGCCTAGAGTCGACCTAAAGAGAGGACACAGACATTGACCGCAACATCTAATGAATGTATGATTTGGAGAATCCTATGAATTATGGATATATAGAAGGAGATCCATCAGAAAAAGGTTATGTTTGTATCTGGTTTCTTTATGGGATAGAGCCCGTGGGAAATAAAGTAACTACTGTTTTATAAGCAGCGGTATGATTATTGTTACATTACGCTTTGTTCTTTATTACCGTATATGCATTATAACGAGAGACCGACTTGATCGTTGGATGCTCTATGTCAATAACCTCTCGACCCTTTTTCATGTACTCGGACGAGAGAACTGACTACTCAGAACCGAAGTTATTTAGGCTATGTTTGGTAAAACTAGCCGATAAACTGGTTGATAACTGATAAGATAGCTTATAAGTAATTTTTTCGAGCTTATAACTTATAACTTATAACTAAAAAGGTAGCTTATATGATAAAAGCGTTTGACAAAATTAGCTGGAATAAAAATTTCAACAAACTGATTTAAAAAGTTACCCAAAAAAAATTATGAGATAAATTCGAGCTTTCTAAAATGCTCGTCCTAAATGAAACTTATTTAAATACAAAAAGTTTATAAGATAATCAAATAAGTTATAATAAGTTCAGTTACCAAACATAATCCCTATCAAGTCCCACTCAATTACAACTTCCATAACTAGAAGAAACATCTCTTCCTTTATAACAGCCATAACCAAACACTTGATCACAACATCTCATTAGAGAGAACTAATTATATATATATATATATATATATATATAGAGTTAGGATCACATGAGAATGGTAGATAGTGAAAGAAATAAGAATGGATCTGGATCATTGAATACATCATATCAATGCTCATGATCAAGTCAAAATTTGGTCAATCATTAATGGCAATATGGTAAATTAACATACACATTAAGATCAAATGTACATAGTTGACTAGTCAATAGGGGCAAACCGGTCATTACACACCAACCTACCAACCCTAATATTTATACAACACAAACACACACAAACACCAAAAACACACACGCACACACTCAGCACACACACACACTCAGCGCAAACACACACACACAAGCCCAGGCTGCCGGAGACTGCCGCCGGCTTCCGTCATACCTCAGTCGGCCTCCACCGTACCTCCGGCATGTCTCTGCTGTTCCTCCGCCGCCCGCCAGAGAGTGCCGAGATTCAGGAAATTATTCCGGTCGTGCATCTGAACGTGCCTCCGCCGTGCCCTGCAAAGCCGACCTCCATTGTCGCCGCTCCGTCTCCTTCTCCGCAGGAGTCTCCGGCGAGGAGCCATACGAGGCGGAGGCTCAGGCATTCTCGTGGTTCGTGTCGCGGGGGGATGGCGGCAGTTGAGGCGGGATGACGGCGACGCCGGCGACGCCGGCGGCTGAGTGTTTGTAACGGCGAACTTCTGAGATTGAGCAAAATTGGTTCTGAGATTTGGTGTAATTTGGGGCTGAGATTGGGCGACATGGGGATGCGATTGAGTGACGAGAATGAGTGTTTTGGGGATGAGATTATTTTTGAGGAATTAGGAAATTGGGGCTAAAATCAGTGACGGGAATTTCATTGTTTTGGGCTAATTTTATTTTTAGGGAATTAGATATATTTAGGGGACTATTTTGTAAATTTTTGAACTTTTAATATATATAGAATTTATTACTTAAGGGTAATTTATAATTGAATAAAGATTAATTTATGCACAATGATGACAAATTAGATGCACAATATTGTGTATAGACGTGCACTTTACAAAATATTGTTATATGTATATGACATTATTAAAAATATGATAAATACATCATTTTTTCCAATAAGTGATTTTCACAATATTTTTCTATAGAAGTAAAAAACAAATAATCAAAACGAACAATAAGATTTTGAACTGAAAATTTTGACATAATCGGTTTAATTTGTTGGTTAACATAAATAAACAAAATAACCAAAATAAATTATATTATTTATTCTAAAAACATCTTTAGTCTTTAATATATTTTTTCTACTATTATATGTAATTTTTTATTAGAATAATATATATATATATATATAAACAAAATATAATGTGCAACCTAACAGTTATTGATGTGCAATTCGTCCAACACTACAGTGCATCGTGCCGGTCTATATTGTGCAGATTGAAACGACCGATTTTTTGTTCAAAATCTTTGAAACTGGACATAATTAAATGGTTTACTCGGTTCGATTAACCGAATTATTCTAACTAATTAAAATAATTTGTTCTTTATATTAATTATATTTAATATGTTAATAATCTTATTTATCATTATTTATATTATTTTTTGTTGAAAAATATATCATATATAAAATAAAAATCAGTAAAGTACACCACACAAACACAAATGTGCATCTAGTACAATATTTGTGTGCATTCTATTGAACGAGTATTTTTTTTTATGTGCATTCAATTTTAGGAAACATTAATAATATGTATTTTAATTAACATTATTTTACACTTATTATATATCTCATGTAATTAAAATATATTCAGTAATTTTGAATTTTTATTTAATATTTTATAATATTTCTGTTAAAATTAAATTATAACATTTTTTAAATAAATTAATTTTGAACACATTAAAGTGCATTTCATCTAACGTTATAGTGCAATATGATATTCACTAATGTGCAAAATGATTATGTGCAATAGGTTTGAATTTTTTTATGTTCAAATCCAAACTAAAAATGAATTGAAATAATTTTAATATTCGGTTGATCGCATTATTGGTGAAATATTTTTATTATTTATTATTATTATAAAAAATGTATCTTATTATTTTAATATTTTTATTCATTTTTTTGTTATTTTTTTTGGTCCATCCTTGTAGGTCGTTCCTTCTACACATTAGTATTGAACTGCACTCAGTCTATTCATAACAGTCTGCCACTAAAGAAGTTAAGAAAAGATATAAAAATAATATTATTTTATATATTTTTCATAAATTATAAATTTGACCCAAGAGTTAAATTGAAATAAATAAAAAATCTTAAACTTTCAATTAGACCCCTGTGAAATGTCAAATTCTCAAAACAAAGTCCCCACCTTCAAAACACGTTTCACGTGTTTCCGGCCAATTCGGCCATCGTCCTTGCCGTCGTGAATCGCCCGACCGACATGACGTTCAGCTTCTCGCCGGTGATGTGCTCATCGGACCGGTTTTTTCTGAAATCGGGATAGTGAAATCGCCGCCTTGTCGGAGAGCATCAGATCTTGTCGGGTGGCCATGGGGCGGCGCCGGTGAGGACGGGGCTGCGACGGGCTGAGCGTTGGTGCAGATTTTATGCATGTGGGATTCGCTGGTGCTGAAGCGGACGGCCGCTGTGTTGCCTGCCGGCGGCGGCGATTCTCCGGCCAAAATCTGTCAGTGCAATCCGGCGGTGGCGGGGACGTTCGACAAGTAGGGATGAAGGCGGCTGTGGCGGGGATGCTTTTACCGTCGGCGGCAGTGACGGGGACGGCGGCGGGGCGGGGGCGGCTCCGGCAGGGAGGATGTGAAGGTTAGGTGCAGATTTCTTTTGTTGTGCGTAAATGGTGTGTGATGTGTGTGCAACGTGTAAGTGTGTGTGAGAGATGGTGTGGTGTGTGTGTGAGAGAGTTTGGTGTGGTTGAGGTTGACCTGGGCCCATGTGGCGTGATTAAATATGTGTAATCTCTAAACTACCCTTATTAATGTACAAAATGCTGTATTTTTTCAGCCGATGGATCATTAGATCGAATGGATATGATGTATAAAAAAAAAAAATAAAAAAATAAAAAAGTCCTGCTAGCTAGGACAATATATGATGAGTGGGCATGGTGCTTCTCTAGTTGTGCCTGTAGACCTGACCAAGAAGCCATGGGACCAAAAGCTTCCTCTCCACAATCGATGGCACCCGGACATACCGCCGGTGGCCGAGGTACGGACGGGTGAGCTTTTTCGGGTGGAGATGGTCGATTTTAGCGGCGGCGCTATTACCAAAGAGTATACTGCTCATGACATCAAATTTGCAGACCCTTCTGTTGTGAGTTCCTCAATTCTCGTGAATTTTGCTTGCAATTATTGTAATTGAGTTGTGTTTTGGCCTTTTTCGGAGTTTGTGAAATAAAATTGATTACTCTTTCTTCTCATTTTTATGCATTTTTACTCTCCAGTTTTTATGTGTGTAGTATGACAATATTTTTGACAAAGCATATTTTTACAACCTCATACTCTAGTGTTTTAATTTTCATAAATAATATAAATATAAGTATGATATTTGATAATATAAATATATATTTTTGGTAAAAAAAAAGTATAGTTATTAAGTGTTTTATAATCTATATTATATTAGGGAATGATTATCTATTGTTAAAAAATTACTAAGTGTATAAGCTACATAAAATTATATAAATTGATATTTAATAATATTTTTGGTAAAAAAAAGTATAGCTATTAAGGTTATGTTTGATAAAACTAGCTGATAAGCTAGTTTAGAGCTTATCAATAATTTTTTAGCTTATGGCTATATTTAGTAAAACTAGCTGATAAGTTACTTGATAGCTGATAAGCTAGCTTAGAGCTTATCAATAATTTTTTAACTTATGATTATGTTTAGTAAAACTAGCTGATAAACTAGCTATAAGCTAACTGATAGTTGATAAGCTAGCTTAGACGTATCAATAATTTTTTAGCTTATAGTGTTTTACAATCTATATTATATTAGGGAATTATTATCTAGTGTAAAATAACTAGTAAGTGTATAAGCTACATATAAAATTATATAAATTTATCCACTATTTCCTTCTTT